GTATTTCTTTATTTAAATTTAGATATACAGCAATGAAAAATTAACAATCGAATAATAATCAATTTAAAACATAAACTTCAAAAAGTAAACAAAAATCATAAGTTACTAAAACGTTTAAGAATCAAATTTAAACAAGTAGTTAAACATAACAACTCCATTTATTATTATCTCATAACGGTATTTTATCACACAGTTGCATTTTTAGTTGTTCTAACAGCGGTTGATTTCTTTAACCGTAAAATAATTACCATCTGGCTACCCTTTATAACTGCATATGACGATTTTGGTACAATTGAACTATTTTTTTCGCTCGGGTTTACTAACTAACTAACTAATTAACTAACTAAACTAACTAAAACTAAAACTAACTAACTAACTAACGAACTAACTAACTAACTAACTAACAACGAACGAACGAACGAACGAACGAACGAAGAGAAGAACGAACGAACGAACGAACAAGAACGAACGAACGAACGAAAGAACGAACGAACGAACGAACGAACGAACGAACGAACGAACGAACGAACGAACGAACGAACGAACGAACGAACGAACGAACGAACGAACGAACGAACAAAGAACGAACGAACGAACGAACGAACGAACGAACGAACGAACGAACGAACGAACGAACGAACGAACGAACGAACGAACGAACGAACGAACGAACGAACGAACTAACGAACGAACGAACGAACGAACGAACGAAAGAACGAACGAACGAACGAACGAACGAACGAACGAACGAAACGACGAACGAACGAACGAACGAACGAACAACGAACGAAAGAACGAACGAAGAACGAACGAACGAACGAACGAACAACGAACGAACGAACGAACGAACGAACGAACGAACGAACGAACGAAACGAACGAAACGAACGAAAACGAACGAACGAACGAACGAACGACGAACGAACGAACGAACACGAACGAACGAACGAACGAACGAACGAACGAACGAACGAACGAACGAACGAACGAACGAACGAACGAACGACGAACGAACGAACGAACGAACGAACGAACGAACGAACGAACGAACGAACGAACGAACGAACGAACGAACGAACGAACGAACGAAAACGAAAGAACGAACGAACAACTAACGAACGAACGAACGAACGAACGAAACGAACGAACGAACGAACGAACGAACGAACGAACGAACGAACGAAACGAAAACGAACGAACGAAAGAACGAACGAACGAACGAACGAACGAACGAACGAACGAACGAAACGAACGAACGAACGACGAACGAACGAACGAACGAACGAACGAAAGAACGAACGAACGAAACGAACGAACGAAAGAACGAACGAACGAACGAACGAAACGAACGAACGAACGAACGAACGAACGAACGAACGAACGAAACGAACGAACGAACGAACGAACGAACGAACGAACGAACGAACGAACGAACGACGAACGAACGAACGAACAACGAACGAACGAACGAACGAACGAACGAAACGAACGAACGAACGAACGAAACTAATAACGAAAAAGAACTAACGAACGAACTAACTAACGAACAATAACGAACTAACGAACTAACTAACGAACTAACTAACGAACTAACTAACTAAACTAACTAACTAAACTAACTAACGAACTAACGAAAACTAACTAACTAACTAAACTAACTAACTAACTAAAAAACTAACTAACTAACTAACTAACTAAGTAACTAACTAACGAACAAAACTAACTAACTAACTAACGAACTAACTAACTAACTAAACTAACTAACTAACTAACTAACTAACTAACTAACTAACTAACTAACTAACTAACTAACTAACTAACTAACTAACTACTTAAAATGTACAATTGATTTTAAACCAATTTTATATCGACTTCTGTGCCTCGTTTCTGTATTTTTCTCGGATCGATTAAATTTATTTATTTTAAATAGTCTTCTAGTTTTTAACAGGGTTATTCAGTTAATTTTTAAATTGTGGGCATTAAAATTTAACAAGAAATATTTAAATTTCTTTTCCGATAATTTTTCTCGATGTGAAAATGCAGAAACGAGGTACTGGCTTCTGTCTAGTTTCCTTAGAAGATAATCATTATAGTGACTTTTGTTAATTATTTTAGACGACTTCGACTTTTTCCAACTCAAAAGCCGATTGTTCGAAAATACATTAATAAAACCCTACTGTACAAAATCAACCATCTGGCAACACTTTTACAATTTTGTTTGTCATTTTTTCATCAAATCATTTATAATTTTTTTATTGCTCATTGTTATTTAAACGAATAATCATCGCCGTTTGTGAAGTGCGTCCGTCGTCTTCTTTGGTTTTTCTTGTGTGCTGTGGAGAAAATATTAAAGAAAATAGAAGCGAAAAAAAAACTATTTGGAATTTATTAAAAACGCAAAAAACTTATAATTTATTTTATTACTAGAATTTTACGCTAAATTAAAGCAGAAAACAAATTAAAGAAAATTTTACGTCCTCTTAAAACTGTGAAATTTTGCTGTAGTAAAGCAAATAGAAATAAAGTGAAAATATATACTGCGAATTAAATTTTGTTGGTCAAAATGTTTCATAATAAATTAATTACTTTGGCCATATTATCAACGGCCTGCTTGCTAACAGGTAAATAATATCACAATATATTAAATTTTTTAATAATATTCCATTTTTTTTATTAAATTAAGCTATTTTTTGTAAGTGCTTTGTTCTGGTCAAGTTTAGACGTCATTTTTTATTTTGCTTTTGCTTTGCAAAGACAAAAAGCAAAAAACAAATAGCAAAAAACAGTAGTTGGTGAAAAAAAAATACATAAAGGGTCTATTTCATTTGCTCTCAGCTGATGCGTTCTATGTTTTTGTTGTTCTCTTCTTTAAGTATTTGTTGTTTTATTTTAATAAAGCAATTTTGTTTTTGCCATTAGCCCCCCCCAACAACAACATTATTATTGTATTGTTGTTTGTTTTTTGCTAGTTTAAAACGAAATTTCCAGTTATTTTTTTTTACTTATACCTGGTTCTTCTTTCTTTGTTGCAGTTTTTTTTTTGTTTTATTTTAATTCACTTTTTATGCCATATTTTCTGCTTTTTTAAATGAAATTTATTAATTTAATTTACCTGTTGAAAAATTGTTGTTTATTATGCCTTTTATATCAAGTTAATTGTAATTTCATCACTTTTTGCACTTCTAAAGTCTAATAAAGGAAAGAAGACGAAGAAATAGCTAAGAGTGAAATTAATGCGAAACAATTCTATTTAAAATGGGGGGATTTTTGAGTTTATAGAAATAGAATAAAAAATCGAAAAATGTCTATATAAAAATTATTATAATTATTGGTACTAGAGATCTCGTTGTTGAACCCGGTCTCTTGCTGAAAAATTTTCCTTTCGTTTACCCCGGGTATATTTATTGAAGGAAATAAATAATTCTATACCTTTTACATCAATATTGTAGAATTTTCATAAATGTTTACGTTTCTAGTTAGATAGTTAGTTAGTTAGTTAGTAGTTAGTTAGTTAGTTAGTTAGTTAGTTAGTTAGTTAGTTAGTTAGTTAGTTAGTTAGTTAGTTAGTTAGTTAGTTAGTTAGTTAGTAGTTAGTTAGTTAGTTAGTAGTTAGTTAGTTAGTTAGTTAGTTAGTTAGTTAGTTAGTTAGTTAGTTAGTTAGTTAGTTAGTAGTTAGTTAGTTAGTTAGTTAGTTAGTTAGTTAGTTAGTTAGTTAGTTAGTAGTTAGTTAGTTAGTTAGTTAGTTAGTTAGTTAGTTAGTTAGTTAGTTAGTTAGTTAGTTAGTTAGTTAGTTAGTTAGTTAGTTAGTTAGTTAGTTAGTTAGTTAGTTAGTTAGTTAGTTAGTTAGTTAGTTAGTTAGTTAGTTAGTTAGTTAGTTAGTTAGTTAGTAGTTAGTTAGTTAGTTAGTTAGTTAGTTAGTTAGTTAGTTAGGGTTAGTTAGTTAGTTAGTTAGTAGTTAGTTAGTTAGTTAGTTAGTTAGTTAGTTAGTAGTTAGTTAGTTAGTTAGTTAGTTAGTTAGTTAGTTAGTTAGTAGTTAGTTAGTTAGTTAGTTAGTTAGTTAGTTAGTTAGTTAGTTAGTTAGTTAGTTAGTTAGTTAGTTAGTTAGTTAGTTAGTTAGTTAGTTAGTTAGTTAGTTAGTTAGTTACTTATTTAGTTAGTTAGTTAGTTACTTACTTATTTAGTTAGTTAGTTAGTTACTTATTAGTTACTTATTTAGTTAGTTAGTTACTTACTTACTTATTTAGTTAGTTAGTAGTTAGTTACTTATTTAGTTACTTATTTAGTTAGTTAGTAGTTACTTATTTAGTTAGTTAGTTAATTAGTTAGTTAGTTAGTTAGTTAGTTAGTTAGTTAGTTAGTTAGTTAGTTAGGTAGTAGTTAGTTAGTTAGTTAGTAGTTAGTTAGTTAGTTAGTTAGTTAGTAGTTAGTTAGTTAGTTAGTTAGTTAGTTAGTTAGTTAGTTAGTTAGTTAGTAGTTAGTTAGTTAGTTAGTTAGTTAGTTAGTTAGTTAGTTAGTTAGTTAGTTAGTTAGTTAGTTAGTTTAGTTAGTTAGTTAGTTAGTTAGTTAGTTAGTTAGTTAGTTAGTTAGTTAGTTAGTAGTTAGTTAGTTAGTTAGTTAGTTAGTTAGTTAGTTAGTTAGTTAGTAGTTAGTTAGTTAGTTAGTTAGTTAGTAGTTAGTTAGTAGTTAGTTAGTTAGTTAGTTAGTTAGTTACGTATTTAGTTAGTTAGTTAGTTAGTTAGCACAGAAGATCAGTCTAAAGCTTTGAACTACAAATCAATCTTAAGTTGTCACTATAGATCGGATATCCATGATCAGTTCATAATCTGGAAAAAATTCAGCCTTTATATCAAGACTGCAGCTCAGTCTATAGTCAAGACTATAGTTCAGTCCATAGTTGGATTATATGTACATCAGATTATAGACAAAACCAATAGAATGGTCAATGCTGTAGATCAGTCAATAGTCAAGGCTAAAGATAGCCTACAGTCAAGGCTTACGTTTAAACTTTAGTTTTAACTGTAGATCAGTATTTAGTTTGGACTATAAACTGCAGATCAGTATACTATAGATCAGTCTTCAATTTGACTAAAATATGTACTACAGATCAGTCTATAGCCAATACTAAAGACAAGGCTAAAGATCATTCAATAGTCAAGCCTTATAGAACAATCTATAATCAATACTATAGCTCAATATATAGTCAAGACTTTGGGTCAGTGAGAACTAAAGATCAGTCTGTCAGATCACTTTATAATCTAAACTATAGATGGTACTATACTCGTGATAAAAATAATAATGTTTTCTTTTTGATAAGAATGACGACTCTTCAACCAAAATTTAAATGCATTTTTATTAATAACAAAAAAACATATTAAAATTTTATGTTGACATTTTAGACAAATTGTTTTTTATTTATTAAAACAATTAAATAGTTTTTATTTATTTGTGATAAGAAAATATTGTTTTCTTTTCCACGCGCTTAAAACTGAGATAAAGTTATTTGCAATAGGCCGTCCGTCAAACGGGATGATTAAATTCCCTATAAATTTTTGTTGTTTTTGCTTTTTTTATAAACAAAAAATGCATATTTTAAGCTCAGATTTACTAAACGACATTGATATATGCCAATCAACTATAACAATAAAAAAATTATATGAATAATAAGCCTTTTTTTTTTCGAAATTAACAATTATATACAGACTCTTCTTATCTGTTAACGTTTATAAACAAATTATTATACATACTATATTAGTTCAGTTTTATACATATGTATAACGACAAATGAAATTTTAGTTTTTAGTAAATATTTTGTACACGTTGGAAGTTAAAGCAAACAACAACAATTAAATATTTGTTATTAAGTATTTTGATTTCTATTTAATAAAGTAAATTGCTCATATTATAGGAAATTTAGTAACCGCTAAACACTACACCCCTATTATTTGTTGTTGTTTTAAATAATATTTACCATATTCTATTACTCATTAAGAGTTGCTTTGATTTTTGAAATAAACACCATATTATACTTTGTATTGCAGTTCACAAATTACATATTTTTCATAATAAACCCTGATATTGACAGTGGAATATTTCACAAAAAATAAGGGCGTTTATTTTTCTCTTTCTTATAGTGATAAACAATTGTAATTGTTTTATTTAAAGTTTAAGATATCTTTATAAAACTAAATTGCAACCACATTATTCATACAACGTTGTTTTAAAATGATGACCTTTAAACTCACAAAACAAACAAAACATTAGAATTTGTTATTTTATTGATTACCTAATTCCTCCCTCATTGTTTTTAGTTATAATATTAAATTTCGTTTTTTTTATGGTTTTACTAAACTTTGAAAATGGTAGTCAAGTTGTTGTTTGTGGTTTTCTATTAGACTTTAAACAAAACTAACTTTAGAAAAATGACGCTAATCTTTTAAAACTTGGTAGACAAGTGTTCCTTTTTTAAATAGTTAAATAGTACACAAAATAATATTTACCCCTTTTTTCTGCACCTAATTCTATGTGTAAATGGTGTTTATTCAACTTGTTTTATTTTAAATACTATTGTTGTCTCATTACTTATATTTAATTAACATTTTTCTTTGTTCTTCATAAATCAAAGTTTACTGATAATTTAGTTTAAGTTAAATGTTATATAGATTTATTAACGACTCTAGTAAACAGTAAATATAAATCAAAACTAATAAGTAGATGGATGATCTTTATAATACTGATGCTAGTTATCATCAGTATTATAAATTGAAATTTTTTATGGAAAATTTTTTAAAATTTTCCTTTGAGACTATTAATCAAATCTAATAAGATGACGAATTTTGAATTTTTAAAGAAATTTTCAAGTGAAATTTTGAATTTCTAGAGAAATTTTTGAGTGAAATTTCATATTTTTAGAAAATAAATGTATTATATAATTAGTTTCCTGAAAATTTTGAATATCTAATGAAGATTTACACATTTTGAATATTTAATTTTAGTGAAATTTCGAATTTCTAATGAAATTTTGAATTTTTAGCGAATTTATAGAGAAATTTTGATTTTTTTTACTACAAATTTTCAGATTCAAGTAAAATTTCGATTTCTTAGTTTAATATGTATTAAATTTTAGTGAAATTTTGAATTTTGATATTGTGAATTTCTGTTTAAATTTAAAATTTTTTTAGTGAAATTTCGAAATTCGAGTGTAATCACTATTTTAATAAAAAAAAAAATTAATTTTAAATAAAATTTTGAATTTCTAGTAAAATTGTGAATTTTAAATAAAATTTTGAATTTCTAGTGAAATTTCGATATTCTACAAAAAAATCGAATTTTTTGTGAAATTTTAAATTTCGGATTTCTAGAATTTATTGTAAATTTTCCAATTTTTAGTAAAATTTCGAATTTTTAAGGAAGTTCCGAATTTCTTATGAAATTTCGATATTCTAGTGCGAATTTAAATTTTGAATTTATAAAATTCTAATGAAATTTAGCTTTTTTGGTGAAATTTTCAATGAAATTCTCTCTTTTAGTGAAATTTCGATATTCTAGTAAAAATTTGAATTTTAGTGAAATATCGAATTTTTGGTGAAATTAAAAATTTTTAGTGAAACTTCGAATTTTAGATAAAATTTAAATTTTAAGTGAAATTTCGGGTTAAATTTAGAATTTTTAGTGAAGAAGACAATACAAATTTTTGGTAAAATTATGAATTTCTAGTGGAAATACAAAGTCTGTTGTCTTGACTATAGAGTATCTATGACTATAGAGTTATCTATCTATATAGTTATCTATAGTCTGGACTATAGACTGATCTATAGTCTGGACTATAGACTGATCTATAGTCTGGACTATAGACTAATCTATAGTCTGAACTATAGACTGATCAATAGTATGGACTAGTCTGGACTAAGACTGATCTATAGTCTGGACTATAGACTGATCTATAGTCTGGACTATAGACTGATCTATAGTTTGGACTAGACTGATCTATAGTCTGGACTGTAGACAGATCTATAGACCGGACTATAGACTGATCTATATACTGATCTATAGTCTGAACTATAGGGTTATCTATAGTCTGAATTATAGACTCATCTTTAGTTTGTATTATAGGCTGATCTGTAGTCTGGACTATAGACAGATCTATAGTCTGGACTATAGACTGATCTGTAGTTTGAACTATAGACTGATCTATAGTGGACTATAGACTTATCTATACGCGGATCTATAGTCTGGACTAAAGACTGATCTATATACGGATCTATAGGTTAGACTTTAGCCTGATCTATAGTTTGGACTATAGACTGATCTACAGTCTGGACTATATACTGATCTATAGTCTCGCCTATAGACTGATCTATGGTCTGGACAATATAATGATATATAGTCTGGACTGTAGACTGATCTATAATCTGAACTATAGCCTGATCTATAGTCTGAACTATAGCCTGATCTATAGTCTGGACTATAATCTAATCTATAGTCTGGACTATAATCTAATCTATAGTCTGGACTATAGCCTGATCTATAGTCTGGACTATAGCCTGTTCTATAGTCTGAACTATAGACTGATCTATAGATTGATCTACCGACTTTACTTTTTACTGATCTGTAGTCTTGCCTATTATAGACTGATCTACTGTTTCGACTATATACTAGGCAAAATCCTGTAAACTGATCTGAAGGCTTAAGCCTAAACTGATTTACATTCAATATTCAAGTCTTTTATAAAAGTTTAAATAAAAATTTCAAATATCGAGATGAGATAAACACTCCATTTTGTAAATTCCTTTTTTCAAAACCCCAAAAGTTCAGGCAATTGTTAAATATTAAAATATTTTTTTAAATTTATCTGTTTTAATTTTGTTGATTTTGTTAAAGATAAAGAAATATGTATAATATATTTTTATTAATTTCAATATTTGCCTTAAATAAATAATGTCAAGTGCTTGCATTATATATTTTTTTTGTTCTTTCGTCTCTTCCAGCTAAATAAATCCATTTTAATTTATCTTTAGTAGGTTGTTGATGTCGCTGGTCACAGCGTTAAGTGTTTTTTTTTTGTGAATTTGCCGCATGTACGCAGGGATGGGAGAGGCGTTTTTAAAATTCTTTAAAGCAAAAAAAAATTTCAATTATTACTATAGCATGGGACCTTTTCTTCTACTAGAAACTATGAGTTTCAAATTCAAAATAAATCTACAAATTCAAATTAAAAAAAAACTGCTTAAATAGGGATTGTTTTATGACGTTAAAGTAATGCATTACATTTTCCCATTTCTGTTACTTAGGTCTTTATTTAAATTAAATTTAACACAAGATAAAACGACTTAAATAAATACCCTTAATCAACGTTTTATTATGTAGTTGTTTATTTATTTATTCTTTCTTTTCCATTACAATTTGGAAATGTGGAGAATCTTTAACATTTATCGTCTTAAATATAAATGGAATTATGGCGTATGAATGAGATGAAAGTTCAGTTTATCATTTGCTGGTTACATGCTAATTCAAAATTTGTGTTTTTGTACTATTAGATAAGATAAGTTAGATTATCTCTATTTTTCTCTGGTAAGAACACAGAGATAAACTTGTGATTATTTGATTTATATTAAGTTTTTTATTATTAAATATATAAATAGTATTTTTAGTTAGTGGTTTATTTATTAATTAATATGAAAATGTGGTTAACTACTTATTGCGTTTATTATTTTATTGAAATATAAAAAGGAAATACCTATTATTTGTTCCAAATACTTTGACCTATTTATTATTTAACTCTGTGATGCTTTTAATACAAAAATTCATTCATTATTTTTTGTGATTAATTTGTCATAATTATTAATAATTAAAATCTTTCGATTGCAATACTTTATATTTAAATATTTTTTTCTGATTCAATTTGGTTTTTTGCTTTGATTTCAAGGTTTGTTTCAGCATTGAGTTCCCGCATTTTTCTTATCTATAAAATTTATTTCCAAAGTATATAATAGGTCAATTTTATGCTTCTTTAATATAAAATATTTTTTTCCAATTTTTAGATAAAAGGATTATTTTTAAATTACATTTGTTTCTTTTTTATTGTTGTAAAGTAAATACAAATGTATGTAGTTTTAAATAACACTTGGTAACCATTTTGTTGTTTATAGTAGTTTATTGTTTTTGTTTGCTCTGTTTTGTTTAAAAAATATAAGTAATTGTTATTTATGCATCATCGCAAAATAATCGCTTTTAAAATGAGTCACAGTTTTAAAAAAAATAAAACAAACTCAGACAAGCCAAGCGTACTGTAGCCATTAGGGAAATTGTTTTTGTTTCCATAAAATAGGGTTAAAGTGAAAAATTAATTTGCCACAACAAAGTGAAAAGTCAATATAATCTTAACTTATGTATGGCCCCAACTTTAGTTCAGTCTATAGTCTGGTTTATAGTCTGCTCTACCTACTAATCTTTAGCATTTACTCTATATTTTATCCTGGTCTAAAGTTTGATCTCTCGTTCATTATTCTTAACTATCTATATTCTGTTCTATAGTTTAGTCTAAATTCTAAACTAATATCTAGTCTGCAGCCTATAGACTAGTCTCTAGTGTAGCCTATAGGTAAATCTCTAAGATAGTCTATAGTCTAGTCTATAATCTATCTATATAGTAGTCTATAGCCTACTCCATAGTCCATAGTATACTCTACAGTCTATAGTCTAGTCTATAGTCTAGTCTATAGTCTAGTCTATAGTCTAGTCTATAGTCTAGTCTATAGTCTAGTCTATAGTCTAGTCTATAGTCTAGTCTATAGTCTAGTCTATAGTCTAGTCTATAGTCTAGTCTATAGTCTAGTCTATAGTCTAGTCTAGTCTAGTCTATAGTCTAGTCTATAGTCTAGTCTATAGTCTAGTCTATAGTCTAGTCTATAGTCTAGTCTATGGTCTAGTCTATAGTCTAGTCTATAGTCTAGTCTATAGTCTAGTCTATAGTCTAGTCTATAGTCTAGTCTATAGTCTAGTCTATAGTCATAGTCTAGTCTATAGTCTAGTCTATAGTCTAGTCTATAGTCTAGTCTATAGTCTAGTCTATAGTCTAGTCTATAGTTTAGTCTATAGTCTAGTCTATAGTCTAGTCTATAGTCTAGTCTATAGTCTAGTCTATAGTCTAGTCTATAGTCTAGTCTATAGTCTAGTCTATAGTCTAGTCTATAGTCTAGTCTAGTCTATAGTCTAGTATATAGTCTAGTCTATAGTCTAGTCTATAGTCTAGTCTATAGTCTAGTCTATGGTCTAGTCTATGGTCTAGTATATATTCTAGTCTATAGTCTAATATATATTCTAGTCTATAGTCTAATATATATTCTAGTCTATAGCATAGTCTAGTCTATAGTCTAGTCTTTAGTCTGGCCTGTAGTCCAGTTTATAGTCTATGGTCTGGTCTGGACTGGACTGTTATATAATCGGATCTTTAAATGTTTCTTAATTATTAATTTCTTTTATTTATCTTTCTTTTAGCCGCTCAAATGAGTGTTAATTTAAGTGGAGCTGTGCCACCCTCAACAGTTGTACCTATTTTGCCCATTAAGGAGGATACTACATTACCACCCAACACACCTGCACCCACTACAACAGCTAGCACTACAACCACCACCACCACTACCACTACTACTACGGCTGCTCCTACCACCACAACTACTACGACAACAGCAAAACCCACGACAACAACTGTAGCACCCACAACCACTACAGCTGCTCCCATAACGACCACAACACCAGCACCCAAACCTTATCCAGAACCAGAAATTGGAACCTGGAACTCCAGTTGTGTAATGGTACGAATGGCAGCTCAATTGAATTTCACTTACGATACCAAAGGTAAGCTCAGGGAAAATCTAGATAAGAAAAATAGTTTTTTTTTAAATAAATTTCCTTTCTTCCATTTAGATAACAAAACAGCCTTTGCTTTGTACAACATCCCCAAGGATTCCAAAGTTGAAGATATGAGCTGTGACATGAATTCGACACAATTTTTACAGGTCAATTGGGGACCAATCACTGCTCAACACACTATGGTTTTACAATTCGATCGTGTTAATGGCACCACCAACATGACCATGATGATGTTTACTTTACCCTTAATGAGTGATCATTTTCCAAATGCTAAAGGTGAGAGTTTGGTATTAAAACTATAAACAAAACAGCTTTTAATGGTGTTATGTTCTCTTTGCAGAAAATCAAACCATACAATTGATCTACCGTGGTGGTATTTTCACAGCCCCCACTAAAATGTCGTACCACTGTACTCGTCCTCAGGTCTTCAATTTAACCGAAACCGTTATGAACAAAGAAGTATTGGGCACCGTTAAGGTTCACGATGTTCAAACTGAAGCTTTCCGTTCCGCTAATGCTACTGGCTTTTCGACTGCACGCGACTGCGACAGTTCGGAAACTCCCGATGTGGTGCCCATTGCTGTAGGCATTGCTTTGGTAGCATTAATTATCATAGTATTGGTATCTTATCTGTGTGCTCGCCATCGTTCCACTTCTCGTGGCTACATGAGCTTCTAAATACGCTGAGTAGAGTGGAGAGAGAGAGTGCGCAAAAACCTCGCTCTAAAATATTTTAAATTTTATTACACATTTTGAAATTCAATTAGTAAACTGTTTTAGTTACAAAATGAGAGGTTTTCTTTAAATGTTTCTTTTATTTGGAAATTTAATTTTTTAACAAAATATTACCACAAAGACTAAATAATTGGCTTTTACTAAAAGCTTAAAAGGGGATGAATGATTATATACAAAGAAACCAAGTTTTTAAATTTAAACATTTTAAAATTGTATAAAGAAAAGGCAGCCCTTTAAAATAATTGAAACTTAAGGCTGTCTTAAGTATTTTATGTAACAACAACAAAATAAAATAATTTGGAACGAGGGTATTTTCTTTTTAAACATAAACGAACATTTTTTAAATAAAACATGAAATTGTTTCAAATGTTCTTTTATTATTTAAAACGTTTGGCTAAAAACAATTCTCTGTAAAATACGTTTTTAAAATTTTCTTTTAACTTTATAGTTTTTTTTTATATATAAATATCTAATGAAATATTTTATTTTTTGCTTTTTTTCTCTCTTAAACTTCTGCTTCTTTCTTTAGTATTAATTATGATTATAATTTTCAACATTTTATTAATTTTATAAAAGAAATATAAATAATTTTTTTTTTTTAGTAATTTTTCTTCTTTCAATTTTGGAGTTCTCATATTCCATATCAGGTGTTTTAGACACAATTTTTTTAGAATTTACTGGGATTTTTCGTTTGTGAAGAGTAAAAATCTTTACGAGTTGGTAAAATGCTAATAAATTATTTAGAAGAAAAAAATCATCAAATTTTAAATTGGCCTTAATTTAAAATATAATTAAAAATCATACATATACATAAAATTAATTAATTGATAATAAATTATAATTAATAAAGAGTAAAATAATAAATAATAAAATACAAAAATAATTAGGAGATGAATTTTCGAAAATGTGTTTTATTTCTTGAATTAAGAGGGGAAAATGGGGAAGGTGTAATTTCTTGATAAGAAAAGCTATAATATAGACTCTGGACTGGCTGGACTAGACTTTAGGCTAGACTATAGACTATTCTATAGCCTGGACTATAGACTAGACTATGGACCAGACAGAGTACATAAGAAAAGACTACACTATAGAATAGACTATAGAATATTGACAAGACTACAGACTATCCCATACACTATACTATAGACTTGACTAGGCTATATAATAGACCATAGACTATTGACCAGACTTAGACTAGATTATATATTAGACTCTAGACTAGACTATACTATAGACTATACTATAGACTAGACTATAGACTAGACTATAGACTGGACTATAGACCAGACTATAGACTAGACTATGGACCAGACAATAAAGTACAGAGTACATAAGACAAGACTGGAAAATAGTACAGAATAGACCAGTTTATAGACTCTAGACTAAACTAGAATATAGAGGCTATAGACTAGACTCTTAAATAGACCAGACTTTAGACTAGAGTACACTAGACTATATACAATACTAATTACACTAGATTAAGCTATGGACTAGACTATACACTACACTATAAACTAAACTATAGAATAGACTATGGATCAGACTAGAGAGTAGACTATGAACTAGTCTATAGACTAGAATATAGAGCATATTAAAGATTAGACTATAGGCTACACTGTATAATAGTCTGTAGACTAGACTATAGACTAGAATATTGACCAGACTATACACTAGATTATAGATTATACTCTAGACTAGACTATAGACTAAACTAGACAATAGACTATTGACTAGATTATAGACTGGACTATAAACTAGAATGATGACATGACTATAGACTAGATTATAGACTGCTATAGACTAGACTATTCACCAGACTATAGACTAGACTGTAGACTAGACAAAGCTATAGACAAATCTATAGTTTAGACCATGCAGAAGAATAGGCTGGACTATACTATGGACTAAGCTGTAGACCATAATATACACAGTGGGTATAACAGTTTAAACTTTGGAAAAATTTTAATAAAACATTTATTTCTTAAGAAAAATTGTGCATAATAGTTTTTTCTTTACGAAAATTTTAGTATAACAGTTTCTTTCCATAAAAATGTCTGCATAACAAGTCTTTCTATAGACTTTTTATATATAACAGTTTTTTTTATAAAAATATTTCTGTATAACAGTTAATTTTAGAAAAACTTTAGTAAAACAATTCTTTTTCTAAAAAAATGGGGTATAACAGTTTTTCCCTAAGTAGATTTTAGTATAACAGTTTTTTTTCTTTTATAAAATGTGTGTGTAACAGTTATTTCTTAAAGAAATTTGGGTATAACAGTTTTTTCCTTAAGAAAATTTGTCGTTTTTCATTTAGGACAAATCTTGTTTTTTTTTTTTGAAAAATTAACCGCTTTTTAGAAAGTTTTCAGTATAACAGTTATTTCTTAAGGATTTTTTTTTAATTTTAGCGTAACAATTTTTTCTTTAAGAAAATTTGTGTATAACATTTTTGTATAAATTTGTGTATAGATTTTTTTCATTAAGAAAATTTATGTGTAATAGTTTTTTCTTTAGAAAAATATTTGTATAACAGTTATTTCTTAGGGAAATTTTGTATATAAAAGTTTTTATTTGGAAATTTTTAGTATAATAGGTAAAATAACAGTTTTTTTATTTAGAATTTTTTTTTCAATTAGAAAATCTGTGTAAAACTGTTTTTCTTATAAGAAAATGTGTGTATAACAGTTTTTATTCAGTAGAATATTTGGTATAATTGTTTTTATTTAGAAGAATATTTTGTATAACAGTTTGTAGAAAACTTTAGTAAAACAGTAAATTCCTTAAGAAAAATTAGTGTCTAACAGTTTTTCTTTAAAACGATTTATATAAAACGTTTTTTTTTTAATTTAAGTAGGTATAACAGTTTTCTCCTGCCGTGAAAATTGAAGTATAAAAGTATTTTGTTTTAATATAAACAAAAAGAGACTTATAATTTTGAATTTTTCTTCACTTACCTTTTGCTTTAGTTGTCTTTTATGCTTTTAATCCTTTTTATTTATTTTTTTGTTGATTTATTTTCTTTGGCTTTTATTTACTTCAAGATTTCACCTTCATTAAGAACCTTTTATCACTTCTTTTTTATAAGCTTTTCCATTCATTTTAATAGATATAACACTTTTATATTTTTATTTAACTCTTTTATTTTTTATATTTTTCATTTATAATTTTTAATTGCCTTTTACCTAAATTTTCTTTTCATTTTTTATATCGATTCCTTCCCGCTTTGTTTACATTTTTTGCCAACAACAAAAACCAACACAATCCAATTTAACCTTGAGACTTTTTTTCTATGCTTTAAACACAACTTCTTTTTTTTTTGCACAAGCCGCCATTTTGCCCAAACACAGATGCTGTGACAAAATTTGCTTATTTTTCCAATTAGAATTTTAACTTATATACCACACATTTTCTTTAACTTTTCAACAATATAACAATTAAACTTAAACTAAATTAACACTTTTTATTAAATTTATTACATTTTCTCTTATTATAACCGGCATTTTGTTATTAGAAATAGAATTAACACGGAGACGCTTCTTAAGTAAAACACGCACTTGTTGAACTAACAAAAGGAACTAATAAGAGTAAATACAAAATAGATACATAAATACACAAACCACTGTTTGTTTTTGGGTAAACAAGGATGTTGTTGCTGTTAAAAAACAACTGCAGTGTTGGGTGTTGCACTAATACATTTACACATTACAATTGATTTGTTTTTGCATAATATTTCCGTTTGTTTTTTGTTGTGGTTGTTGTTATATAAAAATGGAAATGAAAAGAAACTGAGTTAAAGCAAAGAATACTTAAGCTGGTGGTCCACAGCACGCGTTCTACGCTTCTTCGAATTCTACGCGGCTGTCAAAAAAGTTGAATCAATGTTATTGTGTGCTACAAGTTACAAGCACAAAAGTATAAGATGCCTTGACGCGTAGAATGCTTAGAGTAGATCTACTTTCTACTTTTGTAAGCGTCAGCTGATTTTGGCAATTTATATTCTATTTTGAATGTGTATTAACAATTTTAATAAACGAGAAGTTCTTTATAAAGAATGTAAAAAATTTACGCTTAAGAAGCGTTGCATGTAACTTGATGCGTGGGATGCAAAGAGATATGAAAAGCGCGCAATGCTTTGACGCGAAAACATCACTAGACTAGACTATAGACTAGACTATAGACTAGACTATAGACTAGACTATAGACTAGACTATAGACTAGACTATAGACTAGACTATAGACTAGACTATAGACTAGACTATAGACTAGACTATAGACTAGACTATAGACTAGACTATAGACTAGACTATAGACTAGACTATAGACTAGACTATAGACTAGACTATAGACTAGACTATAGACTAGACTATAGACTAGACTATAGACTAGACTATAGACTAGACTATAGACTAGACTATAGACTAGACTATAGACTAGACTATAGACTAGACTATAGACTAGACTATAGACTAGACTATAGACTAGACTATAGACTAGACTATAGACTAGACTATAGACTAGACTATAGACTAGACTATAGACTAGACTATAGACTAGACTATAGACTAGACTATAGACTAGACTATAGACTAGACTATAGACTAGACTATAGACTAGACTATAGACTAGACTATAGACTAGACTATAGACTAGACTATAGACTAGACTATAGACTAGACTATAGACTAGACTATAGACTAGACTATAGACTAGACTATAGACTAGACTATAGACTAGACTATAGACTAGACTATAGACTAGACTATAGACTAGACTATAGACTAGACTATAGACTAGACTATAGACTAGACTATAGACTAGACTATAGACTAGACTATAGACTAGACTATAGACTAGACTATAGACTAGACTATAGACTAGACTATAGACTAGACTATAGACTAGACTATAGACTAGACTATAGACTAAACTATAGACTAGACTATAGACTAGACTATAGACTAGACTATAGACTAGACTATCGACTAGACTATAGACTAGACTATAGACTAGACTATAGACTAGACTATAGACTAGACTATAGACTAGACTATAGACTAGACTATAGACTAGACTATAGACTAGACTATAGACTAGACTATAGACTATAGACTAGACTATAGACCCAACAGACTATAGACTAGACTATAGACTAGACTATAGACTAGACTATAGACTAGACTATAGACTAGACTATAGACTAGACTATAGACTAGACTATAGACTAGACTATAGACTAGACTATAGACTAGACTATAGACTAGACTATAGACTAGACTATAGACTAGACTATAGACTAGACTATAGACTAGACTATAGACTAGACTATCGACTAGACTATAGACTAGACTATAGACTAGACTATAGACTAGACTATAGACAAGACTATAGACTAGACTATCGACTAGACTATAGACTAGACTATAGACTAGACTATAGACTAGACTATAGACTAGAATATAGACTAGACTATAGACTAGACTATAGACTAGACTATAGAATAGACTATAGACTAGACTATAGACTAGACTATAGACTAGACTATAGTCTAGACTATAGACTAGACTATAGACTAGACTATAGACTAGACTAGACTATAGA